GGAGGGGAGCCCTGGTTAGATCCTGGCTCCAGTACTTTCCACCTGCATGACATCGGGCAAGCTTTCTGCCTTCCAGAAATAGTTCCTTCTCCCGTCGAAGGGGCAGAGACATGTATGTAGAGTTAAGGCTTCCTCTGCCTTCCTGGCACAGCAGTCTTCCTGCTTTCTCCTCAAGGCCCCTCGGAGGCCAAATAGAGTAGGGTAGGTCACCCAGAACAGGATTTCATCCACATTTACCACCTCATGTCACATCTTTGGGCCCTTTTGCCTGCTTTGATAATTTCTCTTCCCCTGTGAATGCCTCCACTTGGCCTTGTGATTACAACCTGGCTTCTCCAAAACATTTATCACTAGTATTTACCAGAGTTACTAAAAACCCCAGTTTACTTTACATCCTAAGAGAGCTTTTGAACTAAAAATATGCTAGATAATGATTAAGAACTAGGACGAAACTGGTCCCAAGAGCTGCTGACCCAGAAGCCCTCCGATGTCTCGATTTCTCTGTGAAGGTCTCAGGGAAGGCTTGGATCTCAGCTACTGTGGGTCAGTGGGTGCACCCCAGAGGCTGGGCCCTCTGTCCAGGGACATCTTACACTGCAGAGGGCTCTAAGAGGACAAAGAGAGTGCCCCATTTGCTATTTTTACAAGGTGATTACTGCTGAGCCTTTAGCAAAGACTCACAGCCAGTCAGGAGGTCTTTTGGATGCAGTAATGAGATTCTCTGAGCCTGTAAGTCAGCCAAGAGCAAGGTCTAAGACTGTGGCAGGAAGCAGGAGTGAGGGTCTGTGCTAAGATTGACAGCAAGGAGGGGCCTGATTTACTCCCTCACACACATCAGCCTTGTGGGGGCCACTGAGACAAAAAACCAGGTGCCCCAGAGTGGAGTTTGGGGCCATGGAGATATGATCTACCTTCAACTCCAATTGTTCTTAAACTTCTTCCTTTAAGTTTACAAAAATTTAAGCTCTTGCTTTTTTGTCTATGCAGCGAATATGTAAAAAGTGACAGCAGAAATTCTGGAAACAATGGAACCTTCTATTAGCACTTCAGGGCTTTTATAACGGGATTCAGTGCCAAGCCAGCCAGAGGCCTGGGTAGCTTTGCAAACCATTCCTCCCCCAACTAACTCTAAAAAGACAGAGTTTCATGCCCTCTTTAATATTACTGTTTTATTTTTTAAAACAATTCCCTTTTTAGGGGTTTTTTGCAGTAGAGAAAAAAAATGAGGATTTGGCGGGGGGTGGCTTTTCTGACCGAATTGTTCCTGCCGCATCTTACTGGTCATGAGGTTTGCTCTCTTGAAACTGGAATCCTGAAATGGAAGCAGCCTTCAGGGTCCTTCCCCCACACCCTTCTGTGGTTGTCCACAGGCCTTCAGCTGGAGCCTGCCTTGTTCCCAGATCCACGATGGATCCAAGCATGTCCCAGGGAGGGCACGTGTCAGGGGCTGTAGTCTTTTCAAGAGGGTATCTCATTAACCTATGTCACAGCAACACTACGAGACTGGTGCTGCTTACGGATTTCCGTTTTACAGATGAAGAAACTGAGGCACAGAGAGGCTGGATAGTTCAGCCGTGTTCCCACAGCTAGTTACTGATGAAGCATGGTTATGGCCCAGTCTGTTTCTAAGTTCCTCTTTGGAACCACCATCCCGGGCCAAGATAGGTCATAACTTACGTAGTAACTTCCATACATTGATTGAGCAGTGTTTTGCTTACATTACTGATTCTCAGAGCAGTTCCCTACAGCTTGGATGAGGAAAGCAAGTCTTAGATTGCTAATTACCTGCCCGAGGTCACAGAGCCAGTAGGAGGCTAAGCTGGGATAGAACTTGGATAGAACTTGTGGGTCTCAGCTTCTCACCCTTCCTGGTATTACCAGATTCTTATATTCCCTAAACAAGTCACACCTTGGAAATTAACTGCCTGTGGTAACAATCTCCCTGCTGAACTGTGAGTTGCTGCGGGGCAAGGGCCTTGACCTGCTCGAGAGAACCTTCTAGGCCTACCTTGTACAAAATGCTTGAACACTGGATGGGCCAGGGAGACCCAGGCCTGCTCTGCAGGAGACCTGGGCCCCCAGCAGTGCTTAGGTGGTTACTAAAGGAGCAGGTGGTGCTGTACAGAATGCTCCTTCTAGAACTGCCAGCCCTAAAACACTTCGTAGTCAGTGGCTGGCAGTCCCCTGTAATAGGAGCCCTCGTACCTCTTGGGTTCCTTACAAACATTCTCATCAGTAGCTCTAAGCGTTGACTGGGTGGTTTGAGATGGCTGGTATACACAGTGCTTTTTTGGTGCTCTGTCTCAGGGGCTTAGTTTTGTGTGTGGTTGGAGGGTCCTGGTGAGCTTGGGGAAGTACTAGAGAGTGCTGTGTCAGGGGCAGAGGGGCCTGTCACTGGAGCTGGAGCGTGCCTGCCTTTGTGTCTGGCTCAGTCTCCTGCCTGCCTTGCTCCCTCGGGATCTCGCCAGCCCAGTCTCTGTGGGAATCTAAAAGGAGTGGAGGTGGACGTGTGACCAAGCACATCTCAGCTTTTAATACCCGGACTATTTATAGGCCTTTGGGGGGATGGCTGTGGAACAACAGGGGTTGGGGAGAGAGTTTAAAGAAAAATGCAGCAGGGCTGAAAAAAAAAAAAAAGAGAAAACCATTGCCATGGCTGATTTGGACAAGAACAGTGGCAAAGGGACTTGGAGAGATATGAAACACACACTTCAACATAATTTCACTTTCCTAGAGAAGATCATGTGTATTCTCAGTGCAGATACGCTCATTGAGAGACTCAGGGAAGAAGGAGCGTTAGGAACCCTGATTTGGGGAGCAGAAGGCATGCACTGGTCCTGAAGACATTCCCTATGATGGTTAGCACATTTATAAAGCATTGTTGGAGCTCAGTTATATTTTCCAAATTCCTGTTTTTCTTTTATGTTAATACATTTTAATAACATTCCTACCTAGAACCCAGACACATGTTTTCTTCACTTAAATTGTATTTCTATAGACTTATTCAGCCATGTCAGCTGTATTTGAATATTTCGCTTGTTAGGGGGAAGTATACTTTCATTGAGTGACACATAAATTCTGGAAAAGAGATGATGGATTTCTTGAAAAATAAGTAAGAGTTGAAAACAAGCCTCTGGGTCCTGGTCCAGCCCCAGCCCTGGGATTTCTTTGAGTTGGAGAAGTGGCCCGTAGGTGGCAGGCAGGGGACAGTGACCATACCTAACGGTGCAGGCTCCCCTGGCTGGTCCCCTGTCTGCTGGGAGGCTAGCCTGCCCTCACAGAGAAGGGCTCTTGTTCCTTCTCTCCGAGCCCCACC